AAATAAAAAATTATTTCAACAAATTTATAATGCAAAATAAATACATAACAAACATGTTTAATTAATTATTAAATTTATTGTAATTATGGACAGGTTTCTATGAAACAAAGCTAAAACATCACAAAAAACGAAGAAACAATTCTCACTTTAAACTTTTTCGAAGGTTTTTATTAAAATACAAAGTACAACTGTTTCGATTAGATTAAGTCTTTCTGAAGAGTACATACAAAATGGTTTTGTGAATCCTAATGTACTCCTTTTTGCTTTCGTTAACTTTATCGTCTATAAAATAAAAAAACTTTTAATCAAGGTTTCTCATTTAATGTTTAGAAAAACTCATGTTTGGGATTAGATTACATACGTACTTTATTTTTTCTTAGATAGGAAATACTCCTGTTTAGCCATTTTACGTTTTCTTAAATTTCTACTTTGTTTTTGAACTTTTTCTATATGCTTATCAAATTCCTTGAGTGCTTCTTGAAAGGTTTCATCATCCAGTTGTTTCATTGCACTTCGATACGTTTCCATTGCTATCTTCAATTGCGTTTCACGGTTTTGATGTACTTCTTTATTTATATTTTTCTGATTTTGAAAATGATTAATATAACGTAAAAACATCTGCCTAATAATATAAACAAATACATTAAATTGTTCGACACTATTTACACCAGCACCACATAAGCTAAAGACAAAAATAAGTACATAATTGTTTTAAGAAAGCAAATAAATTCGCTTTTTAAACAATGATTATGAGTCTTTGTTTAATGCGCAGATTAAACACTGTTGCATGTGCACAATTCTGCAGATGAAGGAAATCCAAAACCGAATGAAATAAATCAGCACACACGATTAACCATGAATTGAATTGACGGCTAAAATGTAGTTAGAGGTTAGAACGATTTAAAAATATTAAAAAGGGCAGCAAGACGATTCTCAGACATTCTTGACAGGAGTCAATTTCGCGCCTGCGCAAAAGGTACGGAGTCTTGCGGTTTTTAGTGTCGCCTTTTAACTTTAAGCACAGGATGTTCCTGACTTAAGCATTGCTTAAGCCTGTCGTAACAATTTCGGCAGTAGTTCGGCATTTTTCGCCGTAAGAAAATAACATCGTTATAGTAAAGAGGTTATTATCATGTTACTATTAAATAATAAAATAAACAATATAATAATTATTAAATTAAATTATCATTAAATGGAAGTTGGTGTGTGTTATCATTTATGTTATTGTATTGCAATGTACGGATTATTTACATTCCAAGAGTAGTAATTAGTATCTGATGATATATTAGAAATTTGAAAATGTACACAATTTAACTGGAGTAGTGATAAGAACGCCAATAGCTAATCATTAGTAATAGAAGGTGAACTAATAATATACAATAATAGTACGTTTTATCAGAAGTTTGGTTTTTATTGAAAATAAACACTTTTGGTTTGTTTATATGAAATTCAGAAGAAAATTGACTAATATATATACAAACTAAAACACAACAAAACCTAACAAAACACAAATAATTACAAAAACAAAAACGTATAACAACAGAAAAAGGCGGCAAACAACACTTCACGACACCAGACGTTACTTAACGGACACAATAAATTTGAAACTTCTTGACCATTCTGCACAAAAAACCCTACAAATTACTAAATTTTACCGTTGTTGCCAAACCATCAACAGCTAAGCACTACTTACTTAAGTTGCAGGCAGACAGCGTACGGTGCAAACGAACTGGAAGTTAAGTAAGACTTAAGCTTAAGCAGTACTTTGTTAAGTCTGCCTTAGTAAAACGTCGGTGCAAACGGGCATGAAAGAATTATAGTTCATTCATTCACATCTCTTACAGTAGGACTCATGTATTTTCAACCTACCGGAACTAATTGACTGATGTATTTTCAACTCTCCTCCATCCCCATTTTGTGGCCGTCACAGACAAATCAGAAAAAAAACTGCTTAAACCTTTGCAGTAGTTACGCACTAATGTTGAATATAAAACGCATAATTTGTTTTGCGCATCTATTTTTTCATTGAGCAGCGTAAGAGAAGTTTTGCGTGAGAAGTGGGAAGTGGGGACGAAAAATTTGAAAATACATGAGTAAAATCAATTGAAAATAGATGGTATTGAAAATACCATCGACGTTTACTAATGGACATGCCTTAGTGGTCAGAATTGTGGTACAACAAAAGAAAGGGATGGAATGAAGTTTCGGACAATATCCATCTCTCTCACGATAGTGCGTAAGCGTGTCATGAAAGAGATAGCACTAGTTCGAAATCATACGCCATCTCCGTCACTTTTCGAGCCAAGAAATTATTACGACATACGGCTAAGGCACGTCCATTAATATATGTCTATGGAAAATACATTAGTTCTATTGTATTATTGGACGTTTTGCGTACTCTATATTGAAGATTTATTGACTACGTCAGTGAATTGAAACTACAATTTCCTAGTCTATATGGTTCCCGGAGGGCGCTGTAGTACGTAGTGATTTGGCGCCTTGATTTTAAAGATAAAAGTGAAAAGGTTAAAGAAGAAGAAAAGCGTTTAGTCCCTAAAAAGATTTCTGAAGCTCAAGAAGAAATTGACGCATTATAGGTTGTCTACTGAATAGGAAACAGGTGCAATATAAAAATTCTGGCACGGTGGTGTCGGGAATCCCTTATATACGTGAATCTGTCGGTACTTTGACGACACATAGTGAATGCCGGCAAATAAAGCGAAATGTAGATTATTTGAATTAATAATTGAAAATTGTAATAAACTGTGAGAAGTTGATGTGGAGTGTAATTGAAAAGAGAAACGGAAAGGATATAGGTAGTAAAAAGGTATGTAAATAAACGTTAAAATTTAAATATAAATGGTAAACAAAGGTATAATGGGTATAGACGTATAGAGCATAGAGATTTTTGAATTTATAAACGAAACTTGTAAAAATATGTGTATGTATTTTAAAAAATTTAGCAAGGGACATTCGGCTAATAAAAAAAAACGCGGAGCAGTTCTCTTAAAAATGATGTAAACCATTATTTAAACCAGAGCCGGGCAAACTTTAACTTCGCAGGAGCCGCTACATGAGGTTAGTTTGAGTCACTGCATACCCTTCAATGAGTACGAGAGAGTAAGCAGTAATGAATAATTTTGTTTTGTCTTTTTCTTCTCCCTTCCACTCCCATATCAAGCCTCTTCATCCCGTAGACGAGCGAAGCCACTCTCGCAACTTAAATAATACCTACGAAAATTTTCGTTACTACGTTCGCAAAACTATTGGGTTTGGCTATGGAAGAGGGGACTCATCTACGAAATGGAAGGGATAAGAAAAGGAAAGAATCATCTCACTCGCACTCGCAGGATCAATGGGGAGCTACATGGTTAACCTTGAGGATCACTCGGGATGCAAAAGATCCGAGTTTGCCCGGCTCTGATTTAAACCAACTAACAGGGAACAAGGTAGAGGCTATTACGATAGTTAGTATTTATGTTTTTATCAAGAATTTATTTACAGCCAACAGAATATAATCGGTAAATGATAAGATAACATTGCATAAGTCATCTGTACTAAAAAAAGTTGACTGATGTAGACCCACTACATTACTTAAATTAAAATTTAGCATTTCACGAAATGAGAAGTTGAAGGTACGTCTGCAATACTATTGATACTACAGATACCAATATTAAAAAAAGCAAATGGCTAATAAATAAAATAAATAGTTCACCATATCAGTAGATAATAATTAAATGTGTAATAGTCACTGTAGTCGTATAGAGATGACTAACAAAAGTTGTGGTTCTGAGAAGAACCGATTTTATAATAGCGTTGGACACATTTCTGCATCTATAATGAGTTCTGACACTTTTGCAGCATCCGATGGTTGACACTATTGCAGCATCTAAGGGTGACACTATTGCAGCATCCAAATGAAAGTGAGCCTGGTGATAGACTGATTTATTCAATTATTTACACGCTATTTATACAAAAATTATTTACACTGGTTTAACGGCAATACTTATTTCAGCAGTTTACATATGTGTGTGTAAATGTCTATGACCTAGTTAGTCGCACTGTACCGCGATTTTACTAAGTCGGCAGAAATGATGAACTTTAATTATTACACATTTAAATTATTAAATGCTATACCGAATGTTCCCACAGGACCCCCTTTCCAGTGAGGAACGATGTGGTTTAAGCTGTTCGGATATAGCTTGGGAAATGTACTCGACGATCGGACCGAGTTGTTGTATGTGCTGGTCGATCGTCCATTTTCTTCTTTGTAGGTATTGGTTGAGGATGTTGTTCGTCTGTCACGATATACGCTGGTTTCTGAATAGATACTGCTTTGCTTGTGCCGGGAATGTGAATCCGCCTGAGTTGTAGGGATCGTTTACACATTTAAATTATTAAATGCCATACCGAATGTTCCCACAAATGTATTACTCCAATCGTTATCATTACATTTACTCTTCCAGTAAACTCACTTGTAACAGCTCGAACAATTAAACTAATACATTTAATTATTATCGCCTAAACTAATATATTTAATTATTATCAGCTAATATTATAAATCACTTAATTTTTTTATATTTAAACCATTAACCATGAATTGAATTGACGGCTAAAATGTAGTTAGAGGTTAGAACGATTTAAAAATATTAAAAAGGGCAGCNATTTAAACCGATTTGTGTCCTTTTTAGAAGCCTATCTCTAACGGTTTCTTAGCGGTAGTCCCCCAAAATATTCGAGGTAGCTAAAGCCTCTATGCGTGGTAGGAGAATAAAAAGAACAGTTGTTCTTTTCCCTTGCTGTGGAGTAAGGAAAAGTTGATTGAATGAAGAAATTTGTTAATTCCTTTTGACTGCATTTTTCATTGACACTAATTCTCTCGCCATCTTGACTACATACTATATTATACGATATTATAATGTATAGTCAGGCACATCCCGGCCCCCTTGGAATATATTTTCAACGCATAAATAACTAAATTGAAGAATGTAATTTAACGTAGATAATTTTAATAAATTCTTTTTAAATTATCAAACAAAACAAACAAACTGAAAGTAATGCGTAATTTTCACCAATCATATAGCTCTACAACTTATTCAGTCTTCAAAATTCTTCCAGTTTGCTATTGTAAAGGTAGAGCGTTGTCATCTTTAAGCAACACTAAAGTACCGATTTGTATTTTCTCGCCCTTGGAACACCATTTGTGTCTGTTGTAACTGAGGAAGGTACTCTGTGTACCAACTTTTCCAGAAATGCTGACGCACTTTCTGTGTGTGTTGCCAACGAGACAGACTATTGGAAGCTGTGTCTCTGTAATTTATTTCAACAGGAGTTATAAGTGCTTCTCCTACCAAGAAGTGACCAGATGTCAATACACTAATATCGTTGAGATCATTTGATGTTGGTGTAAGCGGACGTGAATTAAGAATCGCTTCAATTTCTGTTAAAAGTGTGTAATACTCATCAAACGTTAGAATTATTCCCTTTGTGGTTACCAGAAGATGTTTCTTTGTGAGCATAACTGCTGATTCCTATAAGCCTCCAAAGGTGGTGCTTTTGGTGAAATATTTTCTCATTAATGATTACTGGACTTAATAAACCCAATGGATCGTATATCTGAGATATTATTGATAATATTTGACGTTTTGTGACTTTGTTTAGTTTTTCTGTTGTGACTTGATACTGCAAACAATCCTCTTTGCTATCCCATAAAAGGCCAAGAGTTTTAGCTGCACCTTCTTTTTCTAATTTCATGAAACTGGTTGATTTGTTTTCTTCATTTGGTAAAACTTATAAAATTCTGTCATCCTTGGCACGCCACCTGCTTAGCTGAAATTGGCCTTGTAATAGTAATTGGGATAATTGTTTTTGCAATAGCATAGCACCTTCTAGCGTTTTGTGCCCTATTGGCACGTCATTCATGTAGAAATCATTTTTCAACTCCAGAGCTGCATGCTTTAATTCTGCTGCTGCTAATTCTCTCAAACATATGTCACTTTGTTTAAACTGAAAGTTTTTATGGGTAAACTGACATCTTCTCTCCAGAATATTCTTTGGAGATCTCTATCTTCTTGTTTTATTAAAATCTGTCTAAACATTGCTGCTATGTCTGCTGTCATCACGTACTGATGTCCTCTAAATCGTAAAATTATATCAAATA